AAAAAAAATAGACATGAAAGCAAAAGGGGGACAAGCTGGTAAAAAGAAAGAAAACAGCAGAAGTGGAGAGAACAGTGAAGCAAATATGATCGAGGTGCATGCATTATGAAAATGTCATAATGAAACCATTTTTGTATATAATTAATACATCCTCATTTAAAAAAAAAAACTTTTTTAAAAGATTGAAGTGCCTGGACCATAGTTCTACTTTAAACTGTTTGATCCAAAGACAATCGAGTTTGCTGTTTATTCTCATAAATTGTTGTTGTTGGGTTTTGCTCTCTAGAGGGGCCTGCCACCCAGCTCTCAAATAAACCACACACAGTGAGACTTGTTATCACTCATAAATGCCTGGCCTTAGCTTGGCTTGTTTCTAGTCAGCTTTCTTTAACTTAAATTATCCCGTTTAGCTTTTGGCTTTTATCTTTCTCTATTTCTGTATACCTTTCTTTGTTTCTTACTCCATGGCTTGGAGTATAGCTGGGTGGCTGACCCCTTGTGTCCTCCTCCTTCTCTTGTTCCTTCTTTCTCTCCTCCCAGATTTCTCCTATATATTCTCTCTGCTGCCAACCCCACCTATTTCTCTCTCCTGCCTTGCCATTGGCTGTTCAGTTCTTTATTAGACCATCAGGTGTTTTACACAGGCACAGTAACACAGCTTCACAGAGTTTAACAAATGCAACATAAACAAAAGTAACGCACCTTAAAATAATATTCCACCACAATAAATCATCCCCTTTTCCAGATCACTCCCTGTGTCTCCTGAGTCATAGCCAGTGGGGAACATATTCATTCATAAACAGATTATGAAAATTCAACAGTTTAAAATTTAACAGGCCAGCCCACAGGCTTGTCAGAGATGAATGATGGTCTGGGGACATAAACCCACAGAAGCCTCACAATGAGGACACCCTGCCGCTCTGCCTCCTCGCCTCCCCAGAAAGATGGCGACCGTTTCCTGTGGACAGCTCCTTTAGAGAGGAGAGACTGGGGGGGCTGGGGATGGTGACTCTGGTGAAGTACTTGGCACACAAGCAAAAGGATCTAAGTCTAGTCCCTGGGACCCATGCAGAAAGCCATGCACAGCCTGGACCTGCAGTTCCCAGCACTGGAGAAGCAGGCACCCATGGGTCCCTGAGACTAACTGGAAGGAGTCTGGTGGAAGACCCACCTCGGCTCCCCTCCCCATCTCTTTCCCTAAACCCACCCTTTCAAAGCCCGCCAAACACAGCTCCTCCCCCGGAGAGGCTCAGGATGACTCCCACAGGGGATATATAAGCAGCATCCCAGAAAACAGACTCATGGTTCTTCTGGTCTCAAGTCCATCTCCTCCCTACGGCTGGGGAATGACCCGGGAGCACTTTACCCATTAAACCTGGGCTTTCCAGTTCAGTCTGATTCAGCCTACTTGATGAACTCCAAGTTCAGTGAGAGACCCTGTCTCAAACAAACAAGGT